TGCTAGGAAGTTCCATGATCACTGAATTAAGTTTTTCATGTAATTAAAGCACAGCTTCATCAGAATGGGAATTCCAATCACGCCCAACTGTTACTATTGAACTTTGTTATATTGGAGCAATGTCAGCCAATACCATGGTAATGAATGAGTGACTAATTCTCAGTCACTAGATCAATATAGTATAAAACTATAATAGTGGTGTAAAAAGATTATGAGGCAATTAAACAAGAGACTGTTGGATACTTGGATATTATACAATTTTGTTTTCTGATTCCACTACTATGTTTAATTTAAGTATCGTAAAATTGGAAGCTATCTTAACCAGAAAAGTCTCTCAGGATCATGCAGCAATGTTGCAAGTTAAAAATGCTCCATTTTCAATCAAGAAAGGAGCTGCTCCAGTGCCAGATGGATACACCGTGGACGTTCTTATAAAGAATTGGAGTTTTTTAGGTGATTAATTGGTGGATGCTAATCATGCTATAGAGTTTTATTTTCAAAATCAGTACATGTATGAGCCCAAGAGTCCAAGCACCTTGGCAAGATGAAGGATTTCAGACCCTCTATAAAGTTTACTCTAAATTGTTGACTAAAAGGTTGAAGAATGTGATGCCACCTTTAATTAGATCTGAATCAGAGTGCATTCCTTGAAGGGAAATCAATCGTGGATACTGTATTTCTTATGCATGACCTTGTTAAAAGTTACCATAGAAATGATGGAAAAGCCTAGATGTGCTATGAAGATTACATTTAAGGACAGCTTATGAGAACCGGGCCTTTCTGTTGGCTGTTGCAAGTACATTGGATGTATTGTTTTCTTGGGTTGCTAAACGTTGTACTACTGTTTACTTCTTCTATGGTAACATATGAATTGTATCTTTCACTGCTTTAGGGATTAGAGAAGGGCACCCCGTGCCCCTCATTTATTTTACTGGCTACGGAAAGTTTCTCTGCTTTATTGGATCATTCCATTGATGAGCAGGGATTTGATTATCGTACTAACTGTGAACGGCTGAGGCTTACCCATTTGTGTTTTGCTGATGACTTGTTTGCATCGACTGCTGCAATTGACAAGTGATTTAGAGTGATATAACAGTTTTTGGTAGAGTTCAAAGAGCTGTCTGGATTGAGGTCCAAATTGCAGAAATCCGAGTTACTTATGGCCAAAATATCTTCTGAAAGAACTGCATATATATGTTCTTGCGTGGGAATGAACAGAGAGGTCTTTCCTGTTACATACTTGAGAGTACCTCTTACTTCTACCAGATTAATAGGTTGGGATTGTCAAGTAATCAACGATAGACTTCAGTCTAGAATTAAGAGGTGAGCTCTCAAAAAAGTAACATAGCAGGCTGCAACCTATTGAATATATTCTATACAGCATTCACCTTTACTGGTGTTCTTTCTTAACTCTACCTAGAGCTGTCCAAGTCATGGTATTGCAACTACTTTAGCTACATTTTTATGGAAAGGTACTTCAGAGGAAACGTATGTGGCAAAAGTGTCTTGGCTGGATGTCTGTGAACCTGCAAATCAAGGAGGTTTGGGGCTAGTTTGGACTTTTGGAATAAGTGCTTCTTAATCTTGAAACACCTATGGTCTATTTGCTTGAAAAAAGACGTTTTGTGGGGCGTTGGACTGGTACCTTTATTAAAAGGAAAATCTGTTTGGGCATTAAATGAAAAGGTTGGTGCCGGAGAAAAATATTAAAAACTGATAAGTGTGACTAAGCCTCTCATTGAACATATTGTTAGTATTAGGCAGCAAACTCGCCCTTCTTTTATGGCATCCTGTAGCCTGTAGGTAGGCTGCTAGAAATTTTCACTCCTAAATTGATTGCAGATTTTGGCGGTTCTTTAACAGCTAAGGTCTCTGCAATTATCTTGGGTGGTAGAAGAACTAGCGAGGCCCAAGAACTGATAAATGCTACTTTAGCATAGTCTTAGCCTGAGATTCTTGCAGAGGATAAGGTAAGGTGGGGATTCAAGGTGGCTTCCGTTGTAGAAGATGTATTTAGTGAACTATAACCGAAAAGAAAAAACCTGATGAGGTTCAGTATAAAATTAGCTTGATGCAAGAAAAGAATGCCGAGATATGTCTTCATCTTATGGCTGGTACATAAAGGGAGACTGGTAACTCGAGAAATACAGTACTGTTAAAATGGAGCTTAATCTCGGCCAGTAGATGTACTCTCAGAGAGCAAAGCAGTGAGACTAAAATCAATTAGTTTTAGTGCAGATGCTCAGCACAAATACGGACACAGGTGCAAAGTTTGAAATTGATTTTTCGAGGAATCTATCCATGGTCTGTTGAGCTCTCATGGCTTTATTATACATTGTGTACATAACTCAATTCTTGAGCAGGTTTGACTTTCTCATGCAGCTACTGGAAAGGAACCAGAGAATGTTTCTAAAGGATGGTTTTGCACCATAGTAGTACATCAATTGGACAGTCGGCATAGCTCGGGATTTTGGTCAGACAATTTTTACCTTGTAATTATGTGTATTGTTTCTTAGTTGAAGTTCGCTAGTTCTGAGATGGCTGGGCAATTGTGTTCTGATTTGTTTTGAGTTTAATCTCATTGTACAAACTTATTGTTTTGATCTTAATAAGAGCTCCAGTTCACCTTTAGGGAAAAAAAATGGAATGCTGAGAATCTGGTTAACTAAAAGGCTGATGAGATAAAGGCAGTATTGCATCTGTTGTTGAAAGATAAACCCAATAGATGGCATTCAAAGAATAAAGAACTAAGCACTTGCATAAATGAAATTGTTAGGCTGCATAAACAGATAAAATGAACTTCTAACATTCAGGCAGAGAGGGAAATCATGAAACAGACGCAGTTTTCTTCAGCAAGGCACACTTTTTGTCTATTTCAAAGTAACAGTGGCGATTTCGCATGGCAAGCAGTTAGCTATTCTTTTCATTCACTCAATCAGTGGACTGATAACATTCAAAGCAACAAATAACAGAGAGTATCTCGGCATTTACACAGTCCAGATTATAATATACATCATCTAGAAAGGCAAGTTTTATTAATTCCAAGAGAGGATAATTTACAGCAACTTACATACTCTAAAATTTGATACCTCCAGCACCACTGCTGAAATTGCGCAAACGTCATAGTGCCAGATGTATCATCATTTTCCATTTTCAAACAGGGAAGGACAGAAGAAGTATATGTCTTCAAGCCTGTCATTGCTAGGGGAATTGCCACCATATACCAAGAGTCCCTCTTGACCATCAAGCTTCCCACCAGCAAATGCGCACCATCCCCGTGGCCCTGGATGCTCGACAGAATTTGAGCCATCCTCCACCTTTTTCCAAGCTAGTGTCTCAGTATCCAGAGCGTAGACCTCTGCTGCAAATTTCCCTGCACCTAAGTGGCCCAAATCACTAGGGTCTATCTCCCCACCAGATATGAATATATACTTTCCAATTCCAAGTGTCGAGAACACACTTCGGGGGGTTGGCTTTTCTCCAGTTGTCTCCACTTGGATCCACTTCTCCTCTACCAGATCAAAGTAATGAACATCATCAATCTCCACTCCAGAAAAGCCATATACAACCCAAATCTTTCCAAGGGACACTGCAAGTCCAGGTCCACCTCTAGGCTTACAATTCTCTCCAGCCGCTGGAAATTTGGTCCATTTTCCATCAATAACATCATAGGCCCACAAATCATTAAGCCGCCCGGAAACACCACAGCCACCAAACACATATAGGCACCGACCATCGGCAGCAATTGAGTGGTAGCTACGGTTTTCCGGCCCAGTGTCCCCACTGGTGAGTAAGGTCCACCTGTTAGAAGAGGTATCAAAGGAGTAGAGCTCATTCAGCTCCTTGTGTGTGGCATCCCTACCCGCAAACACATAGATAATGTCACCAATGGAAGTCATGGAGACACCAACACGGGGTGGAGGGATATCTCCAGTCGCCTCAGCCACTGACCAAGTTCTCTCAACAAGATCAAACACATATAAGGCGTTGTCAACAGGTATCCTGGGGGTAAATTCACCACCAAAGGCATAAACCTTATCTCCAACAATACTAATGGCATGTGAGCTTCTTGCTCCAGGCCCTGCTCCCTTCTGATCTAGCTGCATGTCATAATCGAATCTTCAATTAAAATTGAACTTACTTTCAGAAGTTCCTTAAATTCATTATTTCCAATGCATAGCAATACTGATTTATGGGAACTGACATTACAAACTATAACTATTCACTGTTAGCATCGGAACACAATTTTCAAACTGTAAGCAGGACAAGATTGACATGATTAAGCGCTATGATTGACTTTAGTTGTAAATAACATCAAAATGTCAAATACAAGAGGATCAGGAACTCTGCAAAACTCAATTCAAATTTGAGACCAACAAAAGGAAGAGTGCAATGAATAGATAAAAAAAAAAAAAATTAAAAGGCTCAAAGGCTAACCTTGAACCATTTGCCCTGCATGAAACTCATGGCCTCAAAGGCTTTCCTGATGCGATTTCCGAGCGCTCACACTGCCCTGGTGGTTGAGTGACTCTACTATATGTATAAGGGAGGTTTATTATACCTGCTCCGGAAAAGCCCGTATAATTAGGTTAAATAAGTCTGTGTGTGTCTTGAAAACGAGTAGAGTCCGGATTTGTCAGTTGATGGATCCGGGGGTCCTGTGCCGCCGGGAGGTACAATTGGAAAATTTGCCAAATTAGTCCCTAATATTTTCACAAAAAATTTTTTTAGTTCCCAATATTTAAAATCAACCAGAATCATCCCTAACATATAAATTATGATCTATTTTGGTTCTAATGTTCGTATTTGCTCATTTTTCCGACTGAAAATAGCACGTCTCACTCACGTGGGTATATTTTTAAAGGCAAAATCGAAAAATACATTTCATTTTTGGTTGAAAGCAAAAGTATTCATTTTCACCTTTCCCCCCTAAAATTACAGTCACAAAAAATCCTAATTTTCCCCCTGAATTTTGGGAGGAAGCATATGGAGAAGTCATTATGTACCTAATGTTGAATGGGGCTCCCTTTTTCTTTTGCTTTCGTGCCAACCAGACACCAAACACCACCAGAACAATTGCCAGGAAGCTCATGAATCCAATTGCCATGACAACTCCGCCTTTCATGCCCCCACCATTTTTGGATATTGTGATTGCGGTAATATTTGGAGTAGGTGTAGTTGATCTTGCAATGAGTTTTTCAGGGGCAATTGCTGGTAAGGCTGAACTAGTTGGAGCATCAGCTTGGGATATATTATTTTGGGAGGCAGGGGGAGAAGGTGGAATAAAAGATGTGGTGATGGGAGGAGGAGTCGCCACCGAAAGTGGAGGGGGACTTAACAAGGATGGACCTGGGAAGAAACAGGTGGTGGTGGTGGAGGTAATGCAAGAGAGGGACGGCTGGTGAGCGGTGACTTTATAGCGAGAGGAGATGGAGAAACTGAGGTAGGTGGTGATGAGACTGCAATTAACAGAGAAGGAGAGGGTGAAAGAGCTGGAGAGGGAGGTGCTGTGCCAAAAGGAGGGGAAGGTGATGCTTGTGGGAGAGGAGAGGGTGATAAGTTTACAGATGGAGGGGGAGAAGCATGGGGTGGTTGTGGTGGCATAGACAGAAGAGGCAGGAGGGACAGAGGAGGTAAGGAAGGGGAAGGGGCCAGTGTTGATAATGGTGGTGGTGATGATTGTGGTCGGGGAGGAGGGGAGAGGTAAGTAAGAAAGTATGTTTTTCGGTTTTGCCTTAAAAATATACTCACGTGAGAGAAGCGTGTTATTTTCAGTCAAAGAAATGGGTGAATATGAGCATTAGGATCAAAATAGATCATAATTTATATGTTAGGGACGATTCTTGCTAATTTTAAATATTGTGCACTCAAAAAGTTTTTTGTGAAATGTTAGAGACCAATTTGGTAAATTTCTCAGGTACAATTACATTCGCCAACTTTTTAGAAATTGTAAACTAACTTGTAAAAACTTTAGAAATTTGTATTCTCTCACTCTTACCCTCCTAAAGTTTGATGGTAATTTCACTTACCCTAAGATTGTCCCCTAGAAGCATTGAAATTTTTCACAACTACCCTCAACATTTTCACAATGGTACCTTGAACTAAAGTATATAATAGGATGCTATCTCTTTCCTTTCTAATAAATGTTATCACTTAACATTGAACTTTTCTTCATGTTAAATCACGTGAATTATAAGTGGATCAAATATTCATTTCACAGTTCGATTGTAGATAAATTATTCACTTATTGTATATAATAGAATTTAAATATTATTTGTTATACATAATTTTAATTACTTTACCATTTTATACCATTAGAATGACTTGGCAAATGATAAATCACAATTTGTAGAAACTTTTTTTCAATTATTGAACAAATTGGTGTACTTTTGTAATGAATATATAATTGTCCTAATAATCTAGAAACCAATATATTTTGAATTTAAGCTAATATTATTGCACTCCTGAACAAAGATCCTGGCTTTGCTACTATTTGCATTTCCAAGTGTTGAGATCAACCCAAGTACAATTGGACCGATCTTGAATATTGTCGTTATTTGCACTTGCAATTGCAGAGGATTCGAATTCTCTATTGTGATTTTGTAGGAATGTATATTTTTTTGCTGTATGCAAGTGAAATTCTTGATTATACCAAATTATCAAATTTGCTTGGCTTCACACCGAATTTTTTCACCGACTTCATGGATTTTTGTGATATTGATAAGATATGATTATTTATATACTAACAAGTTTCCTTAAATATCATAAAAAAATATTTTATTTCTTCATGTTTAAGATGTATGATTTTCTACAAGGTTTGCTCCCAAAAAAAATGACATATGATCCATAACGGACATAATCCTTCTCCAAAGTAATGCTGTCAAGAAGACTACAAATCTCCGTAAACATCATAAAAATATTTTATTTCTTCATCTTTAAGACGTATGATTTTTTACGGGGGTTATCAAAAAAAAAAAAAAAAGACTTATGATTCATAATGGACATAACCCTTTGTCCAAAGTAATGCTGTCAAGAAGATTTTAAACAATGACCGCATGACTATTGAGAGCCTTACATGTTAGAAATACAATTTTAGACCGTTAGAAGACTTGAAAAGTCCATAGTTTATTGTAAATATCTGTTATTTCTTTGATATATTTGATAATGTATATTTACCATTAGTACAAACTTTATGAATGAAATGATCATTTTTATTGAAAAAAAAAAGAAAATGTAAATGATATATAATCAATTGTAGAATTTTTATATCTTCTTCCAAAATAGAGCAGATGTTGATTGTGTATTTCTGTGGGCGTGGGATGTCATGCTCATCGAAACCGAGTATCATATAAAGCATAAACCGAAAGTTTACATGGTAAGCTTTGGATGCACCCCAAAATATAGGTGGTATCCGGCCATCCCCTATGTTCAAAGGACTGGGACAGCTTTGACAATGTCAAAACCCGGTCCGCAATGGGGCGGATAAATCCTGGCGCATAACCGCATCTAAGGTTGGTGGTTGCTAACTCAAATTTTGCTGGGAAAGGTTGGATCCATATTGGTTTGCAATTAGCAACTCATTCGACGAACTATCCCAATGTTATTTTTTTTTTCAAAGTAAAATGATCACTGCATGATTGACAAATAATTGTAAAAGGCTACCTATGCATTTGAATTTTTCCCCTTTTCGGTGGAATTAATTGTTTCAAATAAAAATAATTCTCATTTCTGATCCTTATAATTTTTAGCCCATTTCCTAAGATGATCCGTTGTAGCCACTTTGCTCAAAATTTTATGCTGCTCGATCTAAGTTTGAGCTGAATTTAAAATTTTACAAAATTGAAAACGCTTTTCATATTTGATTTGATTAATTAACGAATCAAATTTAAATAAAAATTTTTGAACTGAACTCGTTTTAAGTATATAATAACTTAATTGATTATATCAAGGATTACCTTGAAACCTAAAACCAAAAAAAAAATTAAATTGATTGCAATTTGCATTTACGAGAGTTTAAAATGTGGTATTAGAGTAGAATTACGAGATGTACTCGGATTGCTTGCCTCCAAACAAGGGTTCCATTCGTGATGGCTCCATTCTACCTACTTTCCGTTTCCCTCTCTCTTCAATTCCCCACTTCTTGAGCAATAAAATATAATGAACAGAAAAGGATCGCAGTCCAGCTTGGAGTCATAAAAAAAGCCGGGGGGGGGGGGGGGGAGACTTTGCATGCCACGTAATTGCCCACCTTCACTCTATTTTTAAAATAAAAGAGAGATGAAGCATGCCACTACAAATCAAATTGCACCACTTCGATTTTTATGCATTGCGTCATAGTCTCGGTAAATTATGTTATGCTGTACTGACAATACATGGTCTTGAGAAAAGCATTAAAGTTTGTCCCGTTTTGAGTCTATAGCTTTAATGTTCACAAGTTTTAAAGTAAAGAAAAAATTTGCCTTGAAAGAATTAACAAAAATGAGGCATAATAAATAAAGAGAATCTAATCTCAACTAGTGCCATATAATTCAATATAAAATTACCTATATACCCCATGGGTTTAGGTGTCCTGACGAATTCAATTAACTCCATATGCTTTGGTGGAGTTTGGCCTAGATTGGTCCAAACAACTTGTGTTTACCAAATTCTCCTTATTGGCGCTATAAAGCCCCTTAAAAATCACAGCTCCAGGAAACATGCAGGTACATGCCATGTTCAATTTTTTTTTTTCTCCATTTGGCTTCAAAACATTTTTTCCCGTGCGGAGATATAGAAAGCTCTTGATATATATCACGGCATCCATTTTTAGTTTGTTCTGGGCACTTGATTAAATGTAATACCCAATAGGTTAAAACAAAAGTCGGCCCAAGAATGTTGTATACAGAGGGTCTCAAAATCTTGATGAAAAATTTGGGTGATTGAGATGATGTTGGCGGCTTGTTATTGCTTTGAGTTGTTTGTATAATTATTAATATAATATTAACATAATAATAATTAAGATATTAATCATTTTACAATTAATTATGTAGATCACAATTGCGTCTAAAAAAGTTAGTCCTACACACATTATAAAAGTGTTACAGACTACCTATGCATCTGGAATTTTTTTTCCCCTTTTTGGTAGAAAAAGTTAATTGCTTCAAATAAACATAATTCTTTTTCTAACCCTTACAATTTTTAGATCATTTATGGATAAATTTGTCCCATTTCCTGATAGGATCCATTGTAGCCACTTTGCTCAATATTTTATGCTACTCAATTCAAGTTTGAGCCCAATTTAAGAAGTAGAAAACATTGTTCATATTTGATTTGATTAGTTGACGAGTCAAATTCGAATGAACTCTTGTCCAATCACACTTGTTTTAAGTATACAATAACTTAGGATGCGTTTGATAAAATCAAAATATAAAAACTAAAATTTGAAATCTGAAATCTAAATTTATTAAATTATTAAATTGTTAAGTACTGAATCTAATACATTTAAATGTATATCATCATATTAAGTGAATAATTTATCACTTATGTTTTTGGGAGCAAGTTTTACTTGAAAAATTCAATGCTACTTAATCAATTCAGATGTTCAATTTTTTATTATCAAACATATTTAAACATGTTAAGATCTAATTTCATTAAATTTAAGTGCTGAATTAGATTCAAACAGACCTACTTTTGTTTTGCATCCCAATCATGTCTTCTATATCTTGGATGTACCCTCAAAACTAAAACCCAAAAAAAAAAAAAATTACACAGTTTGCATCTACGAGGATTTAGAATGTGGTATTAGAGTGGAATTATAGATATGCTCGGATTACTTGCCTCCAAACAAGGGTTCCATTCATAATGACTTCATTGTCTTCTTTTCTCTCTCTCCCACTTCCATTCCCCACTTCATAAGAAATAAAAAATAGTGAATAGAAAAGGATTGCAGTCTAGCATGTACTAGAGACTTTGCCTCCGACGCAATTGCCCACCTTAATATATTTTTTTTAATATAAAAGATGGATGAATCATGCCTGTACAAACCAAAATGCGCCCCTTCGATTTTTTACGCATTGCGTCATGGCCGTAGAAAATTGTCTTTGCTTACGCTGTACTGACAAGATATGCTCTTGAGAAAAGCATATGAGTCTGTGCTTCTACACTCTACAGCTTTAATGTTCACAAATTTTAAAGTAAAGAAAAAAATGTGCCTGAAAGAATTAACAAAGATGAGGCGTACAAAAAAAAGAAAAAAAGAGAATCTAATCTCAACTAGATCATATAATTCAATATATTCAGAGGAAATTACCTGTATACCCCATGGGTTTAGGGGTGTGCTCATCAATTAACTCCATATGGTTTGGAGTTTGGCCTAAATTGGTCCAAGCTACCTGTTTTTACCAAAACCTCCTTATGGACAGTTGGAAAGCTCTTAATATATATATATATATATATATATATATATATATATATATATATATATATATATATATATATATATATTAAGAGCAATAGATCTCTTGAATTGGTTCTATTCTTAGACAAATAAATTCAGGTATCCAGTTTGAGGATGATTCCTTAGGGGTCCATTCCCAATTAACTTGATTATGATTTGATGATGTTTGGCATTCATTAGTTTGATTGCTGGATATTTCTCCGTGGGAGGTTTGTTCCCAAGTAGAGTATCCATCGAAGAGACAGTTTTTCTCTTCTGGATTGTATGATGAT